TGGCGACGGGGGTGAGTTCGAAACCGCGATCACATACGTCACCGATGGCGTAGATGTTGGGGATAGAGGTGTTTTGGTACTCGTCGGTCACGATGTGGTTCTTGTCGTTGAGCTTGATGCCGAAGTCCTTGATCTTAAGATCTTCAATTTCGGGGTCACGTCCAGTTGCGAAGAGAACTTCTTCGACCTCAACGGTCGACTCATTTTTTGTCTCGTTGTTCTGGTAGGTGACGCGCTTCATGCCGTTGCCAATATCCTCAACCTTTGTAATCTGTGTACCCTTGTAGAGGTTGATGCCCTGACGCTCGTACTCTTGAGTTACGGTATCTTGGATCATGGGGTCGAAGGTTCGGAGGAGCTTGTCGCCGCGGATGAAGAAGTGTGTTTTCGAGCCGAGTGCGTGAAGCATGCCAGTCATCTCGACACCGATGTATCCAGCGCCACTCGTTGCGATGCTCTTGGGTTGCTTCTCGAGATCGAAGAAGCCGTCACTGCTAATGCAGAGTTCCTTGCCAGGGATATCGGGTAGCTTCGGTCGTCCACCGGTCGCGATGAGGATATGCTTCGCCTTGATGCGCTGGGAGCCTCCATCATGAAGCGCGACCTCGACTTCGTCCTTGGCCACAAACTTCGCGCGCCCTCTGAAGTGCTCAATCTCGTCCTTGTTCAGGTTGTTCTCGTAGATGCCGTTCAGTCGCCTGACGTAGTCGTCTCGCTTCTTCTTGAAGTATGGCCAGTCGAACTCTGGTACCCCGCCAACCTTGAAACCGTATGCGGGCGCATCCTTGAAGGTCTCGGCAATCGCTGCTGCGTTCCAAGTAACCTTCTTCGGCACACAGCCGACGTTTACGCAGGTACCTCCGTATCGTGAAGATTCGATCGCGATGACTTTTGCGCCGTGTTTGGCAGCTCGTCGTCCAGAGGCGATACCCCCACTACCAATTCCGATTACCAGGTAATCGCACTCCTTGGGTTGCGACGACATGGTGATTCTTGAGGTGGAGAAGTGAGACGAGAGGTTTGATAAGCGTGCGGATGCCACTGCGGTTTGTGAAGGGCGGAAGTGCGTTCGGAGGAGAGAAGTTTGTCCTGGAGATGGAGGGGTAATGGTACGGAGACTCGTCGAGAGAGCTCGCAGTCTAAATGTAGCTGTTCTTTGCATTAAAGATGCAGCGCGGCCGAAGGCGGATACTTATGGAGTACGTCAGAATAAATAGATTCCAAAGCTACTACTGCATTCAGAGGCTGGATTGGACGACTTAAGTAATCCAACCACGCAGGTGCGGTACCTAGGTATGCGGTATGGCTGCTTTCTGTGCAGGCTAGAAGTTCCAGACCGGGGACGAATAAGACAATGCCTGCAACTATCACGCAATGCTATCTCAGCGACCGACGTGTGTCGCTTGGTAATGCTGCGATTTAAGATTTTGCGATTATGGGAGCAGCCGGCGATGACGCGACCTCGGCCTTACGCGTGCGGACATCCCGGAGGCGCATGCGCTAAACCGCTTCCGATAGCTACTTCGATCATCGCTTCCAGGCCAGCCCACCTGCGACACACGACTCCACGCAACTTCAGGTCGGTCAAGTCAATTGAAGCTCGACAGATGTTGGTAGGAAACCATGCCAACCTATGAGAGTGGTTCAAACTTTCTCGGATCCTGAATCCTGAATCCTGAAGCGTCGACAGTCACCCAAAGAGATCAGACCATCCCCACCACGGACCTTGCGACATTGCCGAGTGTCGCACTCTCAACTGAAAGCCTTCACACCCACTTTCACGTAACTCAACCACCCTCGTCATGGGTGGCAGGCTTTCCATGCCGAAGGCGGCCGATGGCATGAGCGAAACCTCCAAGCCGACGTCGGCCAATGCGCGAGCGCGTCTTTCACGAGGCGGAGGCATCATCAATGGCCGTGTAAGAGGCTTCTTTCCAGATTTGTAGCTCGCCCCGTCGTCTAACACGTTCCAGACCGTCATGGCACCTTTAGCCGCCCTCACCATGGCTGGCCTCCTCTTCGTATATGCCCGGACGTCGATACGCGCGGCGAAGCTCAACGCGAAGAAACATCGCGAGGCAGACGGCGGGCAAATCAGTTGGCACAAGGAGAGCATGAGGCGGCATGGTCAGATGGACAGGCTGGACGATGATAGAGGGACATTCAGCGAAGCTCTTATGGGAGACATTCGTAAGAAGAAACAGCAGAAGGTCGAGGAGAACCAGAAAGCGCCAGTAGAGAGGTCCGAGAACGACGCTGAACTGAGGAAGATCATGGGAAAGAAGGACTGATTCCCGAGGGACAGGCAAAGCTCTGGCGGAAGCAACGCAAGAGAGTCATTCAATAGGCCATGAATTTATGGCCAAGGACAAATTCTATGGAAAGACATGTCAACCTCTCAATTTATGTGTCTACGAACTGGATAGATTGTTGAACGAAAAAAATAATCATCCCATTCGTTGCTGTGTAGAGACTAGAAATGTACCATGCTGCTAATGAAGCTGTACGCGAGTACATTTAGCGGCTAAGGCGTTCACCGGTTTGTGCAGCATTGTCCAACACCAGCAGAGAGGTAAGCTTGGGTATAGCAGAACTTAAGTCGATCTACGAACACGGTCCGCGGCCGGTAGTGTCTTGTCACACGCACCCGTAGCAGATTCACCTCTACTCAGGTATGCAGTCTGTTTGATCACAGGCAGCGAAAGCTTAACTGTAGCAATGCGCCGAAGTAACACAGCATGACATGATACACAATTTCACAGCGAAACACATGCGCTCGAAAATGCTAGCTGCCGTAATGATGAACTGTGATTTGCCAAAGCTACAGACATGGATGTGTTAAGCTCCACATGTGAGCGAACCCCGCATTCAGCTGTGGTAGCTCTCAAACGCGTGCCATGCCACGAGATTTGGTTGAGTGATGGCAGGCGCGATTCAACAGCAAAGTCATGTGTTGGTGTCAAGTTGGGGATCGATTGCCGGGCGCTGGATGAGGGATATTATAGATAGGTACATGTGCAGGTCGTTGCGTCGATCGTTCGCCTGCGGCCAATGGCTTCATCCTTCCGTGGCCGTTAGACTGTTTCGGGGATGCGAGCTGCACAAAGCGTGAGGTTAACCCCACCATTCCATGACCGCGCTCCGCATCTACACACTCTCGCCAACACCAGCCATTGTCGCCCGACCTTCCTCTCCACCACCAACCTCCACACTCGACACCAATCGCGCACCCACGTTCCCTCCATCCAGCTTGACGACGCCGCGGTCTTCATGGAGCTTGCCCGGCTGCTGGCCCGATCGCGATTGCCGTAGGAAGACTGCACCGTCTTCCACAGCTAGCGATAGCCAGTATGCCTAAGCAGGACGAGGGGAGGCCAAATGTACAACAGGACATTCCAAATAGACCCAGAGATCTGACCGAGGTTTCAAGAGCCGTCCTGCGCAGCGAGCAGGCCAAGCGATGGACCAAGAAGTACCGCACCGAGGTCGCTGCAAGCTCCAGCAGTCTGCTCTCTACGTTTGCTGCTGTGCGTGCATCTCTATCGGACACGAGGTTATTAGTTTTGCCAGTGCTGATAGCTCCCAGTATCCTCTCGACTCGGTCAAGACCCGCCTGCAAGCGTACGCCAGCCCCCCAGCATTACGCAAGACACAGCTAACACGACATAGCTACAAGTTCAACTCCTTCGCCGACTGCGTTCGCCATACCTACAAGACTGAAGGCTTCCATGGCTTCTACCGTGGTATGCCTCACCGCTCACAGCTGCATGGCCAACAACCGCTAATGTACGCGTCATAGGTGTTTGGTCTCCTCTCGCAAGCATAACCCTCGTCCGCACCGTGTCCTTCTCCATATACCAACGATCCAAGTACGCGCTCGACAATTGGATTTACCAGACTACCGGAAGCTCCCCGCTTGTTATCGCTAATACCCGGGATGCGTGGCCTACGTTTTCGACGATTGCGTGCTTCGGGCTGGCAGGTGTCAACGCGGGTGCCGCAATCACGGTAATCGCATGTATGACAGATCTACTGCCGTTTATGTGTCGCTAGCTAATTCAGTTAGGTCCCTTCGAATTGACGAAATTGAGCGCCCAAATTTCCGTATTGATGGCCGAGCGCAACGATGGCGGCGGCAAGAACGAAGCGGTCCGCAAGAGCTACCAGAACTTGGGAACCTGGAAGACGGCACAAAATCTGGTCAAACATCGGGGTTGGACAGGACTATATTCTGGCTTCCATTTGCATTTACGTGAGCGAGCCGCAGATCGCTGCGAAGAAATGCAAGCGCTAACAGGAGACAGTAAGAGATTCCATCGGCACCGGCATTTACTTTGTGACATATGAGAGTGTGAAACAGGTTTTAGCCAACGCGCGAGGTACTTCACCTACACATCCACTGGCTGTAGTCGTGGCTGGTGGACTGTGTGGACTGGTTAGCTGGGCCTGCGTAAGCTTTCGCTTCCTATGTGGTCTTGAATCATGTACTAATAGGTATTGCAGATTTTCCCGATCGACACGGCAAAGAGTATCTACCAGCGAAATTGCCTCGTCGGAGGCAAAGACAAGGCCACGCGCCCAAAAATTCATTTCTTTAGTCGCCGGATGTATCGAGGTGAGCACACCTTGACAAATTCGCAAGGCTTCTACTGACCCAATCAAGGCCTCGGTGTCTCCATGTCTCGTTCCTGCATAGTCAACGCCATTTTCTTTACTGCATTCGAATTCACCAAGAAGCGCATCAACGGCATGTCTTACGACGAGGAGCTGCTTCGTGCCAACGACCTATAGCTAATTCGACATTTCCATATTTGAGGTTTCACTTGTATCTGCATAAGGGCATGGAGTAGGTGCATATTTTGCTTGTATGCAAGTGGATATGTAGATTATCCTGGATCTGAGTATGCCACTACGAGCATATTCTGAGTGTGACACGTATATTGTGCGCCTGACCTCGAAGCTATACGCAATCTCCTCTGTGAATTTCTCAAAGATCTCATTTAGTTCTTGTCCACCTCCGCCTGGCACTGCTTCCTCTCATTTTCATCCGCATGACCGTGATAATCGCACGGCTTAGGGTCGTCCTCCGGTAGCCCTGACTCGACGATTTGACTGTAACGAATGATGGCGCGCATGAGGAAATCGTGTGGCAGACTGGCTCGAAGCTCGATTTCACCGTTCTTAGCAGAGTCACTTGTATCCCCAAAACCCCGGCAATGCATCTCCACAAAGAGATCGAGGATCGCGTGATCGTTGGGGAGATTAGCAAATCCATGGATCACAGCTCCGTAGAATACAGCCTTCGCAATAATGTGTTCGAACAAGCTATCGCGAACCCTTTTGTAGAACACTAGAGAGAGAATGCGATCGCCAAAAACAAGAGCTTTGGTACGTGCAAGTTGTGCCTTGCCTAAACTCATGTCTTGGTCCTCCTCATCGCACCACTCGGAGTCGTTCTTTGGAAGCCTCTGCGAGTACACCCAGTCGACGAAGATGCTGACTATCGCCTTGTTAGCTCGGTGGGGCATACTTCTGAATACTCTCCACTTACACGTGCTGCACTCAACGTCTTCCAATTTAACGACACCTTCCTGTGCCTCTTTCCAAGGACCATTCAACGCCTTCTTGAAGTAATCGGAGTGTTCGACGAGTAACGAGCGATGGATGTGGTATTAGGTTTTGGTGTCGCCTACTTCGACAATGGCGAAGATGGAATCTTGGGCAGCCTCACTAGGAAGTAATTAGCCCGTAGACTTTTGACAGTTACTCTTTGAAATACCAGGGGCGCTTCATTCTTGCGATCTTTTCCGTTGACATCGTAGGCTTGGAGCTCTGTTTTATCTATAGGCCTGCTGTCGTGTAGATCTGGACGAGTTGTCGGGGTCGTAATTACAATGGAAGGAGCAGTCGGGGAAGTTGGCTTACTGCACATGGTGGTAATTTGGTCTTGGTCCAGGCTTTCGAGCTTGCCTCTTTCCACTTTGAGATTCACCGTCACCGTGATTTGCGTGATTCGTTGGCACATCGTATCTACGCGATACGACGCAATGACAGTACTCTACTACCTTGTAAATGAGCGGAGCTGACAGAATTCGTCAGCTACTTCCATTGTCCAGATAGCGAGTTTTCACTCTTCATGAAGCATTGTAGTGTCTCTTCTCATGACGACAAAGACATGCGACAAATCTTGGTGGGTATGTTCTGTACAATCAGACTGGCGCGCGTGACCGGCCCCTACGCCAAGTATAGCGAGGAGTTGTCCAAAGTCTTCTGAACAGTTAATGTTCTAGAGGACCAATGTGGATAGTAGTGAGAAGCACAAAATACATGCAATGGAAGTCTTAGATGTTGGCACGACTGACCTTGAGAGGTAGTCTCAAAGGAAAGATGGCGGCTAAGCGAAAGAGAATGAGGCAATTGGCAAAAGCTACGCCTGTATAGGTGTCTGATGCAGATCCACTTAGCCATGGAAAATACAACTCGGAGTTGGAGGACTGAAGGGTCTGGCATGAAGACATGTAATGTGAGCTGTACTTGCGAAGGACTTCACAAGCATAAGGATTCATGCCTGTCCCTCATAGTAAAGGTAGGCTAAGGTACTGACTTTGGGCAATGATATGTTGAGAGGAGTGCCCATGTAAGCGATGATATGAATGCGCGAATCCGAACTCAGGTTATCCGACTAAGGAATACTAGTGCATGATTAGGAATCCTAGTCACGTCAATGTATCACTTATATCAAGCTCCTTTCATAGCCACAAACCGAACATCACAATGGCTGGTATGGCGACCGAACTACCGCTCCGAAACATCACGACGTGTACCCGTTTGTTGCACTTTTCGAAGTATTCATTGACCTGCCGACCTAACATATCTCATGACGCCGTCGTTGTTCTTCCGGGAGGGCCCGTATGCAAGTCGTGTCACCGAATAGTCGTGACTGTCCCACCCCAGCAATGGGAATATGCCCGCTGATGAATCCGTTTTGCAACCCCGATAAAGGCAAATGTCGAAGAAAGGAAGGGAAACGAGACGCTTAGTCGAAGAGACCGAAGCCCATGTCGTCGTCTGACTCCTCCTTCTCTGTTGTGTGTTAGTCTCCGTTCTATGCTCGGCGAGGGATGTTTGGTAGACGTACCCTCCTCCTTCTTCTCCTCGGCAGCTGGCTCGGCACCGGCAGCGTCGCCAGCGGCAGGGGCAGCGCCTCCAGCAGCGGGGGCAGCACCGCCACCTGAACCGACGTTCAGGAGCAGGTCCTTGACATCCTTGCCCTCAAGAGCCTATTCACATATCAATTCCGTGTTCTGCTCCAGCGTATCTGTGTATGCGCACCTTGGCGAACAGAGTTGTCCAGATGGGCTCGACCTCCTCGATCTTTGCGGCCTTGATGAGAGATTGGAGCTTGTCGGCCTGTTCAAATTAGCCATTGTGTCCGCGATTGCGAATTGCACCTCGGGAGTCGTACAGTGATGTCGACACCGTCATCAGCGAGGATGAGAGCGGCGTAAGAGGTGGCGAGCTCGGAGGTAGACATTGCGACGGATGTGATCGTGATATTGTCGTGAGTCGAGATGTTGAGAGTGTCGGCGCTGGTGAATTGAATTGATGGTGTGGACGGCGCTAATCGTGGCTTTCGCTTAGCGACGTCTAGCTGCATCGGGCGTTAGCGCGTTGGGTGAGGGCGACTTGCCCCTCGGTGACGTCCGGGCACTTTCCCCGCTATCAAGCTGCATCTTGGCTTCCCGACCGGCTACTTCCAAGTTCGCATATTGCAGAGTTCCAGCTTTCACCACCGTTCGGATTAGCCTCAACCCCACCGAAAGATTCCCCAACCAGCGCCGATCAGCGTCTGCAGCACACAATGACCGACTCCCCACTCCCACGGATTCCGCTGGATCCGAAGGAGCAGCCCATCCTCGACAAGCTGCAGTCCATACGGACGGAGCTGGAACTACTGAAGCGTGATCGGTCCACCTATGTCAAGAGCCAAGATGTCTTGAAGCTGTACGACCAAGTTATCGAGCAGGTCATAATTCTCAACGAGATACGGGAAACCAAGCGCCTGGAGCAGAACAAAGGTATGTCACGTTGCCACCTGCCCAATGTGGCCTGTTGATGCTGACATCGTCGCATAGTCGATTACATGCTCGATGATTGCTTTCAGCTCATATCACTTGCGTATCTGACCGTCGGAAAGAACCATGAACCACCAGCAGTGTTAGTATTTGGCGGTGTCATGTGTTGTATACGAAGTTACTGACAGTAGTTCAGCTACTCATACATATCGACGATCAAGGTATTTATACATGTCGGAGGTTATGTGCACGTCAATGTCTGACATCCCACAGCGCCTCTTGGACCATCTCAAAGAAGCCACCTTCTACTCGCAAAAGGATCTGGAAGCCCTGGACAAGAACCTGCAAGACTGCCGGCGTTATGTTGAAAGGGGGCAAGAAGGACACAGCCCGCACCTGCTTACTCTCCTCGATGCTCGTATCAAAGTTTGCGAAGAGACACTAGCAGAACTGAAGCTGAACCTATCTGGACTGACACCCGAACTGACACCGAAGTGGGAGAAGCTTGTCTCGATACTAAGATCCCTTTGCGGCTGCAATGCAAGATCCAAGGTTAGCAAACTCCGAATAGGCCGTTACCGTGTACTGACCGGATCTGTAGTTCCCACTTGAAGAGGTTGAGGAGTACTCAGAGGAGCTCAACAAACTCGACGAAGAGCTGAAAGAACATGGAATTCGCGCGTATGAGACGGAGGGAACCACTGAAGAGAAGCTGGCCGAGATGGTCGACAAGATGCAACTAGCCACCGAACACCCCGAGGCCGCACCAGACGCCAAGACTCTCATCGGCACGCTGCTACGCCGTAATTTGCTCTGGGTCACGTTGATCAAGCAAAAGTTGGTACATCCCGCTAATCATACGATCCTGACTAACACCTGAGCAGGCAAGGACGCATATCCCCCGCTTTCAAAGACACCTACGACAAACTTCTTGCTATCCGGAACAAACTCGAGAAGCTCACTCTAACACAGGCATGGTCCCTTCGTGAGACTGATCTATGGGACTTCCAGCGCCAGCTTGACCGCATAGACGAGGCACGCGTTGACGGTAATTTCGTTGATGCACTTGGACGTCCATCTGAGATCTACGAGCAAAGGGTATATTCTCACAGACGTGATTGTCTATACGCTCACGGGCTAACATGATGTAGACACTACTCTATCTTCTCAGGAAGAGCTACGCTCTCATCTACCAGCTGCTCTTAACTTCAGAGCCTGTGTCAGAGGCATTACTGCCAATATACAACCAGCTGACCACACTTCGGAAATGCTTACTCGAAGTCAAGAAGCTGGGAGGTGTATCCTCACCAAGAGAGCTGTACCCATACAGTATGAAGGTTGGTGCACCACGCCATGAATACACCGATACGTCTATTGACTCATATATAGCTGAACTCAATTGACAACATGCGGGTAGACGGCAAGTTCATGGTTGGCGAAGAGATACCCGATGGACAAGGACGCGTAACACAACTTCTGGAGGAATGCTTCGAGCTCGCCTACGACCTGAGAAACGATGCCGAAGACAACAACAGCTCCGCTGATGTCACGCCGTCGACCGAAAAGCCCGAGCCCCTTAGCACCTGATGTATTCTCTCTCTCTCTTATATTGGCGCTGTACATCTCGGCGTAAGACGATCGCTCCCAAACTGGCCACCCACATCTCTTCTGACCTGTCTTACTCCGGCGATTCTCTCTCTTGTGGCAAACACGTGTAGAACCCTTGTACTTTCTGTACTTCTAACTATTACTTAATATGGGTCAATCATTCGAAGCTGTTCAATTTCGTCTTCTGGTGGCGTTGGTGGTGGAACATCTGCATCCTTGAAGGTTAGGTGGCTTCCGTACGATATGCCTACAATTATTAGCGTCTTTGGCTATCAGCTTCGGCTCTCCCTCTTACAAAGCTCTTCGCCTGTGGCAATGTCTCTCAAAGCTCGATACGTGATGATTTGACGTCGAGTATCCCGCATCCATCCTACGTTTTGTTCCTGGGTCGAGTGATTGAACATGCTTCCCAATCCGAATATGATGGCTTGTGTGACCTTGCTGTTACCGTCCGTATCTACGATTGGCCAATTGCTAGCATGAGTCAGATTTTGGGTACTTCCAACCACCTCTAATAGATACTTTGATCAAATGTAAGGCCATCAACCTGCTATAACTGCCGATGCCCGCACATGCGTACGCATGCTATATGTCCAGAGGAGGTGGTAGCGCGATAATACAGCAGCTCAAAACAAAGAACTACGTACTAAGTGTAATGATAAAGCGAGGTCTGCTCTATGTGCTTCTTGTTTTCTTCTATTCCTAGGATCAATACAGGACATATGTCTATCGTGGTCCCCGATGGTATGTCCCTGGTAGCAAAAATACCACGCCCTACATGCTTTGTTAGTCATCCGCTACAACTGATCTGCCATCATCTCGAGAAAAGTACCTTTTGGCGTATCAACCTTCAGGACAATATCTGGACATCGTTGAAGTGGGATGTCGTTCGGCGCTGTTTGGAAACCCATGGTACCTAGTAAGAAGATCGGCACTTCGCAAAGCAGCAAGAATAGTTACAAGGATACAATAAGGACAACAATCAGCAGTCCATTCCTCTCAAACCCACGACATCACTTTTGGTAATTGTATCACAAAAAATTATCACCGCGCTAAGTCCGCGGTCCGAAGGCTTGGACCCTGAGGGTTGCGCCCCACTCAAGCTTCGCTCATGGCTGGCCGCTTTCGTCACAGGTCCTCGCAACACGACTGCCAGCACGATGGCCCAGCAACGAGGGCAAGCAATGGGAGACACCCTCAAGACGGCACACTCCGTCAGCCTAAAGGTCTTGCGGTATGTTGGCACGTC